GGAATTTATTAAGTATCATCTTAGTCCAGGTTGTCTCAGAATCTCACTCAAACCCCTCAAGGTAGTATCTCAATGTTGTTGCTGGCTATATAGGGGCCAAGAGCTCCTCAGTTAGAAAGTGATGAATGCTGCCAGGACTAGATCCTTCTCTTTAGGGCAGTGGGTTCCCTCATGCCTCAGAGTGTGTCTAGAACTGTCATCTAGGAGCAGGGGCCTCAAAATGGGCCTCACAGCTCTTACCAGTGCCCCATCCTGCTGGGTTTGAGCTGGTATCCAAGATGCAGGACGAAGTCCTCCCCACTCTTATTTCCCTCTACTGAAGCAGAAGGAAGAAATCTTTGGAGCTGTAAGCTGTGGAGCCTGAGTTAAAGGAGGGGTGATGCCAGTATTCCTTTTGCTGCTCTAGCTGATATGTCAGTAGGTTGTGTGAGCCCCCAGTCTACTGGCTCTTGGCCCACTTTAACACTAGGACGTGCCTAGGAGTTGTAGTCCGTGTGGCTTAGACTGCCTTTCCAATTGCTTAAAGACCCAGAGCACTTTATCCACTGGCCAGGCTTGCAAAAACTCAAGTTCTGACTGCTGGGATCAGTGATTCTCCTCTGGCTACGGCTAGTTTAAATTCTTATTCTGTGGGGAGATGCGCATACGCTGAGTTTGCTCTGGCTTTCCTTTCTACTATAATAGACAGTACTGAGTTCAATGCCTCACAATTGCTGGATCACCCTCTCCCTAGGGCACAGAAACAATCTCAGCACTGCACTACCACTGCCAGGGGAGATGGAAGATGAGTGGGGTCAATGATTCAGGACTGATTTTTACCTTTTCAGTGCTTCTTTCAGTGATATGAAGTTAAAACCAGGTACTATGAATGCTTCCTTGATTTTTGGTTCTTATACAAGTTTTTTTCTGCATAGATAGTTGTTAAATGGTGTTTTATGGGGTGACAATTGGTTGAGCCCTTATATTCTGCCAACTTACCCCACCTCGTCAGTTCTAAATATGTTCTTCTTTTTGACATTATTGGAAGTGGGATTTTTTTTAATCTTCTTTTCAGATCATGACTAATGTATAAAGATACAACAAATTTTTGTGTGTTGTACCCTACAACTTTGTTGAATTTATCAGTTTAAAAAAATTTAGTGAAATTTTTAATGTTTTCTCTATATAAGATCTTGTCATCTACAAAAATAGGCAATTTAACTTCTTTCTTTCTTATTAAAATGGCTTTTATATATTTTATCACTGAATTTGCTCTGGTTTAGACTTTTAGTACTGTGGTGAATCCAAATGGTGAGAGTGGGCATCTTTGTTTTGCTCCTCATTTTAGAGTAAAAGCTTTCCATTTTTCACTGGTTATATCTACTGCTAGCTGTAGGTTTGTCTTACACAGCTTTTATTATGTTGAAGTTCAGTCCTTCTGCATTTTCCTGGCTGTGTTCACTTGTAATATCCTTAATCTTTTCTATTGTTGTAAGAGGCACATATCCCAATTTTAAAACTGTGTAAGAATATTGAGTCTTTGTCAATGCCAACAACCCATCTGTGTCTAATGCCCAACATCATAGTATCAAACACATTCACTCTAAGGTATTAATAAAAATAATAATACTCTCAACTAAAATAATTACACAGGAGCTCTGTAAACTGGTCAAAGATCTACAGGAACCATGTTCTTTTTCTATTTAAAAAAAAACAGAAAATAGAGGATGAGAGTAAGATAACAGAATATAAGGCTCTATTGATCATCACCCTCCCCACAACAAGGACACAAATTTAACAAATAATTACACAAAAAAGCACCATATTAAGAATTGAAAAATGAGGTGAGCACTTACAGTACCTGGTTTTAACTTTATATCATTGAAAAGAGGCACTGTAGGGGTAGAGAAAAACAGTCTTGAATGGTCCACACCACCCCTTCCCAATACCCCAGCAGTGGCTGTATGGTGCAGAGTATTTCTGTGTGCTAGAGAAAGGCAAACTGCAGTGATTGTGAGGAATTGAACTCAGCACTCCCCTGTTATAGCAGAAGATAAAGCCAGAACAAAGTCAGCTAATGTTCATCCGTGGAGTGAGTGTTTAAACTAGCGATAGCCAGAAAGGAATAGCCAATTCCTGCAGCCTGAACTTTGGCTCCCACAAGCCTCACCTAAGTAGGCTAAAACATTCTGGGGCCCTAAATAAACTTGAAAGGCAATCTAGGCCACATGGACTAAAAGGTCTAGGTGAATCCTACTGCTGAACTGGGCCCAAGGCTAGTGGAGTAGGAAGGCACATGACCTACCAAGATACCAGCTGTGGAAGGTAAGGGAGTACTAGCATTACCCCTCCCCTAACTTCAGGCTGCACAGCTTGCAGCTCCAAAGGGGACACATTCTCTTTTTTTTTAGGAGAAGAGAGAAAAGAGTGGGGAGGATTTTGCTTGCATCGGATAAGAGTTGAACCACACCAAGATAGGGCACCTGTCAGCTTTGCGAGGCCCCTTTTCCAGGCCCTAGCTCCTGAATGACATTTCTAAACACACCTTAGGCCAAAAGGGAACCCGCTACCTTGAAGAGAAGAACCCAGTCCTGACAGCATTTATCACTCACAAACCATAGAGCCATTGCACCCTGAATAATCAGCAGCAATTCTCAGGAAATATATCCAGAAATTTGGATGAGATTCAGTACCTTTAATTCGAGACTCAGTACCGTCCCAGCCTTGGTGGCTATTGGGTGAGAGTCCTTCTGGTTAAGAAAAGCAGAGGGAAAATTAAAGGGGGCTTTGTCTTGCATCTTAGGTACCAGCTTGGCAAAAGAGTAGTAAGCATCAAGCAGGCACTTTTGATCCCTCATATCAGGACTTGAATCTTGGACAGTATTTCTGGACCTGCCCTGGGCCAGAGGAGAGCCCAATTCCTGGAAGGGCGAGTTCCAGGCCAGGCAGCAATCACCACAGGCTGACTGAAGAGCTCTTGGGCTTTGCAGAAACTTGGGCAATAGCCTGGCAATACTCCACATGGGCTTGTGGTAGTGGTGGATATGGGTAGAGGCACTTCTGTCTTTGGAGAGGGGAAGGAGGAGTGTGAAAGTCTGCATCTAGCGGTCTGAGTGCAGGATCAGCCACAATATAATATGATAGATGGAATTTCTAAGTTTCTTGATTCTAGTCCCTGGCTCCAAGACAGAGAGGTCCAGGGGAGCTCTCTATCCTGAAGGGAAGGACACGGGTTCTGGCTGACTTTGCCACCTGCCCCATATTTTATTATGAGCTCCCACATCACCATGTGCTTTCTGGTACCATTTATCTCAGCACTTTCACACACATTTCTGTATTTAATTAATGTCTGCCCCTTAAACTATAGTACACATTACAGGTGAAGAAAGACTTTATTTTTGCTTATAATCGGATTCTTAAAATACAGAACAGTGTCTCGTATGTGTTTAATAAATATTCATTGAATCAATACAACTTTAAGCTTTGTACTCTTATGGTGTGATATGAAAAATTTTAAATGGAATTTCTTCCTTCCCATCTCTATGAAGATGAGGGTTGTTTACCTAGCAGAGTTACTGGGTAGCAGCTGGACACTCACCTTGAGATTACCGTGGATATTATCTTTAGTTCTGGGTCTTCAGGTCAGTGCCATAGACTACATTTAAATGAATTTCCTGAACATTTCTAACTTGTCTAGTGAAATGATTCCTGTATGTGTTATCTCCCATTAATACAGCTCCAAGTACACTGTTCAGTCCCACGGTAGGAGAATATTAAATACTTGATGCTCACAAATTGGAGGGGAGATAGAGATCATGTGGATAAGGATGTGAATGTGGGTGTTTATCTCAGGGCTCAAACTCCATGGATTCAAGTCCTGCTTTTACTATTAGTTTCAAATGAGTTTAACACATGAATCTGTTTCCACATTTACAAAAGTAGACACAATAGTAAAAATACCTTGGTTCTGGACAATTAAACACCACATGTTTTCACTTATAAGTGGGAGCTGGTGAGAGCTGAAGACGAGAACACATGGACACATAGTAAGAGGTAACGAAATGCACTGTGGCCTGTGGACAGGGGTGCGATCAGTGGGGAGGAAGAGCATCAGGAAGAACAGCTAATGGGTGCTGGGCTAATGGGTGCTCGAATTAATTAATACCTGGGTGATGGGTAGATCTGGCAGCATGCAGCCATGGCACACATCTACATATGTAACAAAACTGTACATCCTGCACATGTATCCTGGTACTGAAAAGCTGATAAAAAGTTAAATTAAATTAAATTAAGAAATAAAATAAAAATTTTAAAATTATATAAACTTGAAATTAAAAAAAAAAACACCTTTAGTAGAAATTTATTGTGAGGCTTTTATGGGAAAATGTCTCAAAAATTATTTCTTAAACTATAAAATGATGCAAATGTACATAATTATTCCAATTTGACTAGAGTTGAAGTAAATTCTAAAATAGCAATACGAGTGTGGAGGAGGTAGTTTCTGGCAAAGACAATTTGTGGGTAACGACTTTTTACAGTGCATTTTTGTCTTGCGTTTTGAAGTGAATAAAAGAGTGGTTGCAGCAAAGACTTTCTTTTTTTAAAGGTAGGAACACTTTAAATATTCTATTTAACCAATCCATTTGGAGCCTTTCCTTCCACCAGGTTTCAGCTTCCCAGAAATCCCAAACTTCCTCACTGTCTTTTACTCTCCTCTGTAATGACCTGACACTGACCAGGTGGGCAGTTACTAAGAGTCCGCTGGTTTCCTGCAGGGGCGGTTGTTACGTCATCTTATTGTGGTGCAGCACCACCACGTGCGTGCCCAATTGTGACTTCTCATGCCCTCTTTAGTATATAAACCAGGACAACACAGGGCATCCCACTTGTACCAGGCAGTCCGGGACACCTAGCATCCTGGCCCGAAGTTTTTCAAATTCGGGTGGCTAGAGGCCCACTGCTTCCTAAATACCAGCCTTGGGGGTCCAACCCGAAGAGAGAGAAGAGGCCAAAGAGGAGCCATGTACATCCTTTTACTTCTAGCGAGCGGCATTCTGTGTGCCTTGATGTTCTTCTTCGGGAAATACCGCTTTCAGGTAATGGTGAATGTAAGAGACATTTGAATTAGATGAAGGTAGATGAATATATGGACTGGCGGCTGTGTATGTAAGAGAGTAAAATACAGTAAAATGAGAGGTAAAGGGAGAGTACCTGTTTCCTCTATTCCCCCTTACTCCCGCAGTTCCTATATTCTGACCAGTGATTCGACAGTAGTGGTAGAATGCGTGTAACATAATGTGGATTAAAATTAAGAAAATGTATTTCTAACTTTCTCTTCTAAAAAGCCCCAAGTCCCTAAGTTATGTGCTCAGCTTTTCACTCATTGGAGAGTAAAGTGCAGCTGTAAGTGCCCATTCCCAACCACCATCTCCCACTTTAAGAATCTGTATCTTCTCTCTTGCTTCTCTTGCTTCTCCTCCCCAACGTGTCTGTTTGCTAATCTCACCGTTTTTATTTTATGGGCACTTTCTGAGCATTCACAAATAATTCAAGTATGAGTGTGGATTTCCTAGTGTAAAAGTCACAAGTGAAGTGCTTTTAGATAAGAGTCAAAGAGAGTTCATGTGTTTACCTACTGGACTGCTCAGGAAATATAAGGAAACGATATGGAGCTTTGACTAAAGGCTGCTTTCATATATATTTTTTCTCAGTCTAGTTTTGGAAGAATATATTTTTGAATTAATGTAATAATTAAATACACTTTTAATCTGTACCTCTTAGGGAAAATCAGTTTATTTTGGTAACCAAGATTAACCAAATTGTTTGGTAGTTTGGAAATTGCTTAGTTCGATAAACTCCATATGTATAATTCCCTTTCTTTACAGAGAAGCACTGACGAAATGTCATCAAATTCAACTGCTTTTGCACCAGTAAAACTCTATTATACTGGGTTAATTAACAGCAACACAGACAACAATCTTTCAATCAACAGCCTCTCTCGGGATATTTTCAATAATTTCCCACATTCAGTACCCATGCAGAAGAGACTATTGTTAAACCTCAGGATGGTGGAATATGAGCTAGCTGAACTGGAACATTTCCTAGTTACCAAGGGTTTGAGAGGTGTATCAGCTGGCCGGAAATCCACCCAAAAGCATACAAGATGTAATTGCAGTGGTGGAAATCATTAAAGACGCTTTGAGTAGATTCATTTCATTGTATGTTTATGCTAAATGAATATTTTTAAGAGGGAGGGGATGCCAAGTCAGATACAAAAAATCCAGATACTTACCAGGTTTCTTACACTTTAAGTAATTGATTACATACGGCTAAAATATATTTACTGGAGAAGGAATGGAAACATGATAGAGAAACAAAAGCAGTTCAAAAGTTTTTTAGTGATAAATAAGCTACAGTAAACAGACTAGTTGAGATATAGTGATTTTAATTTCACTCAACTGTGAAAACCACTTTTCATTAATGGTTTACAATACAATACTATAAATTATCTCCAAGTTTGCATTAAAGTAAGTGAGATTTGATGGAAATGCTTTCCATTATGTAGAACTATGTCTCTTGCCACTGTTGAATCTGGGTAATAATAATAAAAACTATCATTGAGTACACTATAATATGCCAAGCTCTCTGTTAAGATCTGTGCTTTCCACAGTTGTGAAGATGGTGACAAAAACTTTTAACTATTCTTTGTGGTCAGCTTTTGAAAAGGATTTCTTTCCCTTCCCACTTCCCTTAATTAGATATTCTTTCATTTACAATGCCCAAATCTTCCCTGAATTGGAAAAGTCGTTTATAGAAAATTGCACACCTTAAGTAGCACCAAAATGTAGTTATAGAATGTGTGCAATATAATGTAGATTAAAATTAAGGAAATGTATTTCTAACCTCTAGGTAGCCATCTATTTTAAAATATTATTTTATAAAATCTGGTATAACTAAGGAATTAACACTCTCTTGAAGTTTACTAACAGCATTGAATCTGTCTTCAAAGAAAGCCCTTAGAATGGGCCTGGTGCAGTGGCTCACACCTGTAATCCCAGGAATTTGGGAGACTGAGGCAGGTGGATCAGTTGAGGTTGGGAGTTTGAGACCAGCCTGTCCAACAAGGGGAAACCCCATCTCTGCTAAAAATACAAAAGTTAGCTGAGTGTGCTGGTGAGTGCCTGTAGTCCCACTACTCAGGAGGGTGAGGCAGGAGAACTGCTTGATTCCAGAAGGCGGAGGTTGCAGTGAGCTGAGATCATGCTACTCTACTCCAGCCTGGGTGACAGAACGAGACTCCATCCCCACCAAAAAAAAAAAAAAAAGAGAGAGAGCGAGAGAGAGAGAAGGAAAACCCTCAGATTGTCAAACACAATTTTATCTTATGCATATGTACATAACTTATTGAGGTGGTTCAATTAGAGGCCTACCTATTTACCTACCTTCATGTCCCCTCCCCTCTAAATAAACTGCCGATATAAATTAAAGAAATGCCTTAATTTATTACTCCTTTCATCTTCAAACACAAGGAAGAGAAAACATTTTAAAATGTGTAGGGAAAATTATTTCTTCTATTCTCACTCATTTGCCAAGCACAAAATGCCAGCCACAGTGTATGTGATTCTTAAACTTCTTTGGGTCACAAGTTTCTTTGATATTCTGATGAAAACCATGGACTCTCTCCCTAGAAAAATGCATGTAGACATACACACAGAAAATGATCCATATAATTTTGGTTTCATATGCTCCCTGAAGCCCAGGTTAAGAAATTTAAGAATTGATGAAAGGTTCTTTACCTATGTAGACAGTGTTTATCGTCATAGGCTATGATGCTTAAACCAGTTGTCAAAAATATATAATTAATATATAAAGCTCTTAGTGATATAGTTAATTATCCTTGGTAGAGAAACTAGGACATAGGACTTCCTAATTTGGCTTTGCTCATTCTTGACAAGTTTGAAAAGTTTATCTTCCAATAGTATGTAAGTTACCATCTGTAAATAATAACTTATTCATGTAAGACAAAACCACTGTATCAGCCATGTATCACAATCATAAAAGGCTAGATTTGATTAAAGCCATTTTCTCATTAACATTTAAGTCCATATTCTATTTGAAATGAAACCTATATTTCAGAGAGTATAATGGACAACTCTTAATTTTGTGAAACACAATAGAAATTCAATGGGTCATAGTTTTCTTTCAAATTACCTAAGAAAGGAAGATTGTTTTGGGGAAAATAAGTACTCAAAACTCCATTTTCTGGATTTATCACTTACTGGCCATAGAATCCTTATTTTTCCATCTTATTTCACTCTTTATAAAGAACATTAACTAGTAAGTTCCCATAGAAAACATGAGCTATAACAAATGCATGGGGTTTTTAAACATATTTGGATAAAAATTATTAAACTATAGTCCTCTTATAGTATACATAGTACATTTGTCCATATATTTATCACATTTCTAATTAAGTGAGGCCTTCAGTTTTAACTCTTTCTTTTAAATGTATGGATTTATTCCCCCCCCCCCAGATTTGTGGAAAAGAAAGATTGTATATTAAGAAAATGCAAGTAAATAATATTTTAAAACTTGTGTAATAGAAAATATATTTTCTAAGTGATTAGCTCAAAATAAAGCCTCCAATGTATTAGAAAAGCATTATACTATTTACAAAAATATAAATTGTGAAATAGAGACAGTTATATGTGTGTTATACAGATAGATAACCTAAAGGGGAATATTCTAAGCATATGGCTGAGCATTAAGAGATTTACATTTTTATATTGCATTTCTGCTTAATGTGAAAAAAATTACACTATCATGAACATAGTATGTACATTTTACTATTCAATTAACATATAAATAAATAAGTTTCCCTCATTCTAAAAAATAATCACATTATACAATCATATTTTTTTCAATGAGATCTCATTCTGGTTTTCTGCTGCCACTAACAGTAGGTATTTCATGGTCAGCCTCCTTTTTGGGATCTGTCATGCCTTTATATCTCTCCCCACGATGTTGTTCCAGGTAGGGACCCCAGTTAGAAGCTGGTCTGCAGCAACTTATAAGGCGCTGAAATGCAAAAAGAAAAAATTCTTGTCTTAGAATTTAAGTGCTACAATCTGTAAACAAGCAAATATTGAACTTCACTTTCATTTAAATTATTTTTTCTTTACTAACAAAAAATAGGAATCATAGAAAACTATTATCTAAATTCCTAATAATGCACAGTTTACCACGAAAAAAGTATAATCAAATGTAGCTAGTTGTTAATAGAAGTATATTAACTACTAAACAAAAATAACTGAGTCTGTAAATGATTTCAAAACAAGGTGTATGCACCTATTAGAGTCACAGAGTGACTATTGTACCTTCACTGAGTCAGGCATTTCCATCCTGATCTTAGGATGAGGACAAGCTGAGGATCTAAACCAGTGTATATGTGGAATGTGTTTCAAGAACAAAGGAAAGGGAGTTCTAGGATCAAGCCATTGATTTGGATTTATTGTTGTATGGACTTAGGAATTTATTTAAATCTAAAGCTCCTGAGCCTACTTTGTCATTGTCCTACTGAGATGTCATAATGAACTTCATACCCCTAGACCACCGTGGAACAGGGATGACTCAGGGTCTAAATTGGGTTCAAGCTATTTACCAGGATTATTTCAGTATAAAAACACTATTAGGATGTATATTTTAGCTAGATGAAGTTTAACAGTAGTGACTATGGATATAAAGCAGACAGGTCATTTGCTTTGTGGCATCTTCAGGGACAATTCAGCACAGGTACAGATGCCATAGCTGTCATATGCTAAGCACTGTAGCAAGGCCTGGGAATACAGCAACAAGTAAGGCAAGAGCCTTCCCACAAGGAGCTTATAGTCTAGTATAGAGAAACACAGCAAATATATAAATAATATAATACCATGTTGTACACTAGTTAACAGATGGTTGTGTCAGGTACAGAAGTAGCCAAGAGGAAGGAATAATTAATTATATTTTATATAATCTCATATTGCCACCATATGAATAAATTAATCTTCATTTTGATCATAACTACTTTGTATAATGTATTATAAATTTCAGTGCACTCACTTGAAAGATGTTTCCTTTAGCCTGAATTATTTTTATGATAGCCATAATTGGTATCCAGATAATGCAGAAAATAATCATGCACCAGCCTAAAGCAACTCCCCAGTCAGGGTATGGAATTGTGCCATAATCAGGTCTATGAAATTGCACCAGTGACCAGATAAATATTGCCTGTGAAAGTAAAATGTGCAAAGACAAAGCTAAAGATTAGACTTTTATTGTACTGATGATTAGCAATTTGATTCTGTTCCTTAGATGTGATTTGTCAAAATAATTAATATGAAAATATATTCAAACAATGGAGATAATCAGGTAACCAGCCAGAAGATAACAATATGGAATGAACCAAAATAAATAACTCTATTTTTACTTTGAATAAATTTTTCCCAAATTGATACCATCATATATTTATAAATCCAAATACTTGTTCAACATATATTTCAATAAAATACTTGACCATGTATCAGATTGAAAGTAAAATAGGATCGGAAATTTTCTGTTATTGGGCTTTTCACTTTGATTTATAATAGTATGGTTTTATTCTATGCCGTAGATTAAATCTATATGCCAGCATATAAATTAATACAATGAGAATATGAAGTACACTTTAGTGGGCAGGCTTTTCTTCTTGCTTAGGAATTGCTTCTATTCTTTCCCACTGCACAAGGCTCCCCTTTTGACACATCAAAAACACATGTGCATTTACACACACTATTGGTGCACATTTACCGAAGCACGTTTCACTTACAGCCTCTTACTGAGGAAAAATAAATAAATATATGTTTCAGAAATACAGTGAAATCTGAATCTTAAAAACACTTTCAGGCCAAGTTAAAATAAACCTACTAGAAACATTGAAGCATTAAAACTAATTATTTAGAAATTGGTAAAGCAAAACAAAACAAAAAACCCAATAATTATTTAGGAGTTTCCTTATAGTTAGCTATTTTTGTTTTACTAAAATCAATGAGAAAAGAATAAATAGATTCATAAGTTTAATTTTAAAATTAAATGGCTTAGCTCCAGTAATTTAATTACAGCAATTTAAATGTATTTTACAATTACTATACATGTACATAACTATAAAAGAATG